GAACTGATAAATTCTTAAATTTGGAGCTGTCTATTCTAATTTTATCATTATTTTAAAATGCCTGGCACTTGCTTTGTACGAACTATTTTATACAGTAGATTCATAATGATTGTTAAATGCATGGTAATGTCTTTAAATGTGAGAGACCAGAATGACAAAAACTTATGCCAAACAAGTGTCTGTTGTAATATAAAAACTTGAATGGGATGGTATTCTCTTAAAATAGTATTTCAATATTAATAAACCTTTTCAATTGTTTTTTATTAACTTCCAAATTAAATTGAAATTTAATTCATGCTTCCTTTTTTGTATTATTCATGATATAAAACAATTGCTTATATATCTGCCTCTCTGGCAAAAGTTTTAACACACTTTAACATCCTTTTTATTAAATCATCTCCTAGCTTTCATATTTTTATTTCATACTGAATACAACAGAGATTAGATCTTCATTTGATGTATAAGGAAAATACATTTTACTGATGTGATTTTTACCTTAAAATATTGATCTCCAGAAATAATCAATACTTGAGCTACAATTCAAGGATTTAATTTTAAGAATATAGTAAATAACTTTCACCTTGGAACAACAGTGCCATTCCCCTTTCCTATAATGAAGTACTGCTCCTCAGCTGCTCTGGGTGCCACCTGAAATGTGTCAGTGCAACAATTGTCCATGGAGATACAAGGACATCAACTCTGTCAGTTTTCCAAACACAGATAATTTAAACCTCAGAAATAGTTTCTCTGGGCTAAGCCACATTAGAATTAAGAACAGTTTCTTCCTTGTGAGGATTCAGAACAGCAGTGTTCTAACACAGTAGCAGACCCTCCACAGATGTCAATTGTTTTCTTTCTGCCTCTATTCCATTGTTCTTTAATTATACATTTGTATCAGTTTAAATATAATATGCTATTAAATAACTAGAGTGCTTTCCAATTAGAAAACACACACACAGACACACACACACACACACACACACACACACACACACACCAGCTTTAAGTGGTGAATATTTATGTGGTACTATGATATATTAGCATATAGCATAAATTTTGTCTTTGAGCATATTACATATTAGAAATTTCTTACTACACATGCAATTACCACTATTGGTCATCAGCAGAGCCAAGTCCTCATTTCCCTGTCTTTTCTTACAATCCTAAAGTATAACATAGAAGTTCTAAAATAAACTGGAACTGATTTCACTTGTGTAGTTAGTGAAATTCAAATAAATTAAGATATTAAAATAGCATCTTTTATATAATGAGTTCTGTCGGGCTCTACAGTAAATGTAAGTGAGCCAGTCCTTTGTTGTACTTTATTATACTCTGTTCTAGGTACCAAGGCATTAGATTGCTAAAAGAATATCAACACTATCATTCTCCATTTTCATTATGTAAATTGTTGGGTCAGGACAATTTTGGAAACATAGGGTTCTTATTGTGAGTTGGTTTTACTGAATCCTTTGAGTAACTAGTCAAGAGTTAGTTAATCCTTGGAGTAACTAGTCAGGAGTAGCTAATGTGATATCCATAAAGTTAATGAGAACTCTGAAAGCAACAGAAACTGTGCTCTATTTGATAATGCAGGTTGGGTATTTTTTATTAGTTTGCAAGGATTAGTCTGATTAAATGCCCTTTAGCCTGACCTTTCTTACAAGGGTGTGTGAAAATATTGAAAACACAGTTTGTATTTTAACCAAATAACTTATTCTATGGTGCATGACTTATTCATCCTCCAAAACCAAATTTGGTTGGGGCAAAATTTTCTATAATAATCCCATTTAAAAAATAATGTTAAAATTACTAGAACTCCATTAAAAGTGTTTTGGGGCTAGAAGTCGTGTTTACTTAAGTTAGGCAAATCAATTCAGTTATAATTTATTCAAGGGTAAACACAAAATATTCTATATTCAACAATCATTTTTTAAAGTTTTTCTGTTTACATTCATGTTTATAAAATGTTTGCATTTTCAAGGTTTCTCTGAGAATATTAAAAGATAATGTTGTACCTATAAAAAATTTGCATGTGAAATAAATGGAAAACATGTAGTAACACAGAGCCATCTATTGAAAACACGTGGATCTGATGCTGGATGAGTGTATATGTAGGGCCCTTGGTGTTTACCTTTATTTAGTCATATTCTGTTTAAAAATGGGCAATATTTTGTGAGTTAATTCTGAAGCACATTGATTTTTAAGGGTCAATATATTTATATATCTTTATTTTACAATATCCATCATGTACTAAGTACACAGACTTTTCTAAAGATTAGGTTAGAGTTTATTTTCTTTTGATTTTTTAGGTTACATAAATACATTGCTTTGTTAGAATGCATTTTAGGCATTTGATGAGGGATTACCTGAGGAACTACAAATAATAAATCTTTAGTTTTGATATTAACTAGAAAAAAATAACGTGACTATATTTATAATGACTTGAAGACATTATATAATAAAGTCAGCACTTGGACAGCTCTCTGTGGTATCTTATTAATCCTGTAATCATAGAAAAGATGGCTTTGAATAATAAAGTAATTGTTGTTGCTGGACATTATAAGATTTCCTACACCATCTTCATTCATGAAACTGGGTTTCTGCACGTCCCTATCCTCACTATATGCTTCTAATCTCTTGATATGCAAAATGTTATTGTAATTATTGTAAAATATTTTGTTCTAATTTACATTTATTTGAAAATATTTACAGTTTTTTGGCTGTGATTGGCATCGTATTCATCCTTGACTACAATAGCAAATCGTAGCCACCTCTTTGAAGTTTGAAGCGTATTTTCCCTTTATATCCCTGTTGCAGACCAGGTGCAGGATGCATGACCCATCAACTACTAAACATTCTGCACACCAATAAAATAGCAAGAACTTTTTGTATATATACTCATTTCTAAATAATAGCTTCTTTGAAAGTAACGTAAAAATCAGAAAGAGATTAAGAAGAACATCCAGAAAGACACCAATACTTTATGGTCCCCTATTACACTTAGAATAAAATCCAAATAATTTTCATTCATCGAATCCTGGATGTTTGTACACATCAATCCCCCACCCTTATTGATTCCATTCTTTCCCGTATTACAGTAGTCACATTGAAACCAGTCAATTCCAAAAGTCAGCACAGTCCTTTCCACCACAGGGCTTTTTCAGTGGCAAGTTCCCGTGCTTAGAATGCCTTTCTTTGCACATTGCACACACTTGGTTCAATCTTTTTCATGAATTTTCACCGTAAATATCAGCTGCTTATCGAGATTGTATGTTTACCCTAGTCAAAAATAAAGAAACTAATGTCTTCCCTTGTAGTATCTTGCTTAACTCCTTGGTTCTTTCTTGACCTTTATTGCAGCCAGCAATTACCGTTTCTCTTATGTACTTGGTTTTATTTGTCTTCTCTCATTAGAAAATATCTTTGTGATGACAAGGAATGAATGTGTATCTTGTTCATCAATGTTTCTCCAATTTTAAGTACTGTCCCTAGACTCTTTTCAGTATCCAATAAACTTTTATTGAATGTACTCATGCACAAATAAATTAAATATTTAACACACAGAAAGGTAGGTTGAAGCAGTATAATCTGGATCTAAATGGTGCTAATATGGAATTGAATTTTAATCTCAACTTCAGCATTCACTAGACATGAGACAAGTTCTCTGTTTTGCCTCAGTTCCCATATTTATACAAACAGAGAAAGTAATACTTGGCTGGCATCTTTCAGAGTGCTTCTGTGAGGACATATTGAAATAATTGATGTGAGGCACGTTACATTATTTAAACATTATATAAATAAAAGATAATCTCCTAAATTTATCTAAAAATTAAATAAAAAGGAAAATATTTAAATTCAGTAAGAGAAGTTGGAAAAATTTCAGCATATTTTATTTGTAGAAAAGTTGGCCCTCATTCTTCTACATCAAAAGTAATGGGGGAAAGAATCAGGAAATGACTGCTTATGAAAAGAGAACCCAAGACTTGGGGAAAGATTATTTCCTAGCGATTGAGGAATGCAAGTTACATTTATGGCCACATTGGTAAAAGAAGGATGGGGCTTTTTTTTTGGTCACACTTGGTGATATCATGAGGGTTTAACTTTCCTTTAAATAGAGGTGGGATAATACAAAGTAGCTCAGCAACAGTACCTGGTGAAAGAGACTGGCACATATACAACGAGGAGAAAGGGGAGAATTAGAGCAAACGTGATTACCTATGTTCTAGTCTCTTCTTCTACATGTCTTCCCAATTCCTTCACAAACTGTGACTAATGAATCATATATATATATGTTGGTTTTTAAATTAAGCCCCTCCCAACCTGCCTTCCACAGATAGGGTCTGGGGAAAGGAGGCACAGATAGGTTACCATAACTAATTCAATATCCCAATGATTCTACACCGGAAGAATGTTTCTGCACAATATTTCTCCGAGCCGCTTTATTTGTTTATCAATGAACATCCTACTGCGTATCTGAGATGTAGGTCATCGGAAATACCAGCTGCCGATCACATGCAGTCTTCATTATATTTCCAGACCCAGTGCGCTGCTGATTCCTGCACAACTGTAGTGCGTCTGAGCTGTGTGAGGGAAAGGAGACACCTGTGCCTTAGGGACGCAGGTGAAGTCCCATCTACCTTCCTGAGACTTTCGCTGGCGCTTTTCCACCCTCTCAGCGGCTCACTTCTCATCTCCATCTCCCCTGTCCACTTGGACTCAGACCTCTCTGTTTAACCTGCGCTTTTCCCGCCCTCTCTCTCCTCTGCACCTTAGCTGAAGACACAGAGAGCTCCACAGAACTGGGCATGCCTAATAGCCAGGGAAGGCTTGGGCTGCAAGAAGAAAGCGTTTGCATCTTCCGAGCTCCCCTCCCCGCTGCAGCTGCCTCCTGCCAGTCAGGCGACCCGACGTGCACCACGGCCCAATGAGGGCCCGCGGCCTTCGCCAGCGCCCCGCCTCTCCTGGCATCACCACCAATGAGTGGTTGGCGGAGGTGGGCTGCGCCCTGTTCCCGCCTCTCCAGTTAAGGCCGCTGGTGTGAGCCCGGGCTCGGCGCGAGCGAGGGACGACGGAAGGGACGGGCAGGTGTGGACGCGGGGCCACGCAGCCCGACGGCGGGAGTCGCAGGTGCTGGGTGCATGGGCCAGTGAGGACGCACGGAGATCCCCTCGCCGCGCAGAGGAGGAGCAGCGCGGGAGCCAGGCGCTGCCCCACGACCCTGCGTCCGAGCGAGCGGAACCTCGCGCTTCGCCCGGGGACAGTCCGAAGTCCGCGCTATGGAAGAGGAGAAATATTTGCCTGAGCTGATGGCAGAGAAAGATAGCCTGGATCCATCTTTTGTGCATGCATCGCGCCTTTTGGCAGAAGGTAGGACTTGCCCCCACCGATGGTCACAAACCGCCGGCTGCCTATTTCACCCTTGGCTTGATTAGGGGAGTGAAGTTGGGGAGGGACTCCTGTCGCCGTCTTCGCAGAAACTGTCCCCCTGAAGATGCTCGTATCAGAGCTCGGGCGGACAGACCCCGTTCTTGGGGCGGACAGCGGTGCTCCTTCTCCACGTCTTAATTTGGAGAAGACCAAAGCTACGGAGATCTAATGGCAGTGGCGATGTGACCTGTTAGGATCGTTGATAGAGAAACCGTAAAGTGTAACGCGGTCTACAGGGACATTTTCACTTCCCTGAGGGAGGGGAAAGCAGTTTGGAAGTCAATGGTGATCAATGTAGTGTTCTAAGAGCTTTTTGGCTACAGATCAGTATTTTTATTTTTATTTTTTACTGCATTTAGGAAGTGATGTTTGATGCCCTTTAATCAAAGTCTATCCTATGGAAAGTGTTAGAATTAACCTATGCATTAAACTGTGCATGTTCTTATATGTATGTTAATGTAGTAAGTAGAGGCTAAAGTGCTTATACATTTATTTGAAGTGTGATGATTGGGTACTCTGCGAGATACTGGTCCCTGGGAACGCTCTATAATTGATCAACTGTTTTACCAAGTGTGCATTTTCTTTTGTGTACCTGTAATGTTAAAGGAGATTTCGTTCCCAGAGGAACATATATGTCTTGTCTTTTGCATTGCTTTGAAAGGTTAAAAAAAAAAAAAAAAGACACACAAACTTTATTAACCAAATTACTCCATTTATGTTATAATAATGCCATCTAAATAGTCAAGACACCTATATCTGTAGTTATTTACACATGCCTTTTATAAAACAGCTGCAGATTTTTTTAGATGAATGCTTCATTAATAATGAATTGCTTCATCATCAAATTGGTTACAGTGTAGTTTTGTAGCTAAGGTTATTATGGACTTACATACAGCAAAAAACTAAAAGGGATAACTTCCTCTACCCCAGCTCCTCAGTATTAAAAGATTTTTTTGAGACTTAGTTGTACCAAGGAAGAATAAATTCTGCTCCTCAATATATGATTTAAATCGGTGTTAGCTATATTTTTAATTGATGGATTGTTATTTATGTTAACAATAAAGTGTAAGGTATTTTTTTATGTTTAAATGCTAAACAGTTAGAAAAAGATTTATAGTCAAAACATGGAACATGTGAAATAACTGAACTGTTTTCAGGGAAAAAGCTTGTTTTATAGATAAGTGGGAAGGTGAAATACAATTATGCCTACTACTTTGGTTACTGAATGAAAAAAATAGAAATTAAAGTGGAAAAGTGAAGTCAATAAAAATGCACTTTTTTGCTTTCTCAAAAAAGACTACATAAAAATAATAGCAAAATAATGAGTTAATAGATGTTTAAGATTGTTTGAAATGATTTAAAAGGCAAGTCTTACCAGTCTTCAGTATCTTTAATATATTTTGAATAGTCTTCAATGTATTTTCCAGAAATTTCTTTATGTAGCTGATAATATGTCTTTAAAGTGAAAAAAAAAAAAAAACCATTTACAAATTGATCGTTCTCTCTGACCCGCTAATTAGAGTTCTATTTGAGACAAGTAGCTCAAAGATTAATTCATCAGTCATTAATATGAGTTATTGTACTTGAAGGCGGTCAAGCTAAATAAATGCGTACAAGAAACTCTTAACAGTGCATAAGTATTTCTTTGTCTGGTAAAGCAGTCAGAGAAGGCTATGCACTTGGTTCCTTAACATTTTATCTTTCCTAGGAACTTGATTTCTTGATATAATACTTAGGAACATGTTCTGATGTTCCTTGTAATTTGATTTTTTCCCAGCAGGGGGAAGCATGCCCTGCTTTAGTAAAGAATTAGAAGGAAAAGCTCCTGAATAGAGGAAAGCATCTAAGTAAGAAACAAAGAGGGTACCTAAATTTCAAAGAAATCAGCATAAGGAAAAGAGAATGGAGGAGGTTATAATAATCTTGGAGTACATAAAGAGTTATGCAAAAGGATGCATAAGTTTCAGATTACCTCAGTACTTGGGACTCTTTACATGTGCTTATTAAAGAGTGTAAGATGATTGTTCTTGGAATCTCAATGATCTTAATGTATATTTTATGGTATAGATCTTTCATTATCTTTCCAAAGGCCAGTTGCCAAGATGTCCACACTTAGTTTCAGATGTCTATAGAAGAGTATCGTTGAGGTGATTTTATTTCTTATACTTGAGAATGCACTGATTGAAGGCAGTGGCTATAAATAAACCTGACATAGATATTCATTTGGAGAGAAGGTGCATACTGAAGTACATTTCAGTCAGTACTGTGCAGACAGTGTCAAGCCTGAATGAGTAATAAAAATGATACAGATGATTCAGTTCTTCAGAATGATTTTCCGGAAGCTAATATCTATACAGGCAGTAATATAAACCAATGAGCTTTCACAATGATTTATTTTGCATTTTGATTGGTGATAGATGCAAATCAGTGCTCAATTGACAGTGCTGCATGTAGAATTGAAGGCTGTGGGGTTGAAAGTACTAGTTGGATGTTTATTTGGGGTTTTTGGGGGGTCCATTGTAGTTTATTTCACTTGTTTCTGCTGTGTGTTTTCCATAAGAATGATTTCAATTGATTGTTACTCAGAAGAAATCTTGAATAATGTAGTTTGAAGTTTGTTTCTAGTATGCTTAAATAATTAAAATAATGTTCATCCTGCGATTATAATGTTGTTTAGTTATCCACTTGTTATGGTAGGTGCTTTTGAATATGATAAAACAGCAAACTCAGGACTATCCTTAAAGTTCTACTCAGAGTCTGAATTTGGTTGCCAGATGAAATTACATGAGGTTATTTATATCTATTCTGCTTCTGGGAAGTGCATTAAACTGTGAATCTAGATACCTGGATTTGAATTCCACTTTAACCTCAACTGAATCTGGGTAAGCTTTCTTTCCCTGGGCCCAGTTTCCTTGTCTCTCAAATTAAGGAGTTGGACTAAGTGATGTATATGTGTGTTTTTTTTTTTTTTTTTTGCAATTCTAATTAAGTCTCAGACTACTGATGGATACAACGAAGTGATGTTTGTATATTCGGAACAAAAAATCAATGGCTGCACATTTTCAAAACTTTTTTCATTCTTTCCTAGTTTAATGATTAATAATATATTTATGGCACTAAAATGTAATTTGAGGTGTATATTTTATTTTGGGTATTGGGGACAGATTTATGTTCTTAAGTCTATTGAACTACTATTAATGTTTGAGGCCAAAAATATATATACATGAGAATATTGTCTGGAAATATTCTATGTCTGCTGACAGACATAGATCTGTTCGGATTTATATATTCAATTACGGTGATTCCATATTCTTAGGAGCATTAGAAATTTTTGTCCAATTGAGAGCGGTTTGGGGAAGACTTCCTAGCCTGAAATCTTTGCAAGCATTATATGACGATGTCAAACATTGCCAAATACCCCAGCAGTTCGAATGGTTTTCAAAAAACTGTAGGTGCTATTTTCAAACTTTAGTGAAAAGTTTGACCTCCCATATAGACTTGGCCTTTATTTTTGCAGATATAAATGAGATCTTAAAATATTAAGGAAACAGGGATTAATACTTATCACAAATGCAAACTTGTGAGTTAACTACATTTCGGTTATCAAAAAGAACCATTTTTTGGTTAGATAGTGTTTCTTAAATATTTTTCATAAAGCTTCATATGTTTTTAAATTAAGGAAAGTTACTAGTGTCATGTCTAAAGCAGCTTCTGGTTAAAAATAGTATTCCTGTGACTCTTTAAAGTGACTTTTCTTTTGATTAATGTAATCACCTTTTTCTCCCAATAGATTTGGGATAATCTTACTTATGTTTCTTAAATAAAAGAAAAACATGGGCAAAAAAATTAAATTCAAGTTATCTTTGATCTTCAATTAAAACAATTTATGATATAGTGGAAAATTTGTACTTTGACAAGAGAAACACTTAGGAGTGAGTATTGACACTTCTACCTACTGGGAAATATAGGATGTGTCATTTCCCCCCTCTCTGATACTCAGTTTCTTCATCTATATAACAGGAAAAGTAATACCTGCCAGGCAGAGTTCTTTTAAGATGGAAAAACAAATAAACAAACAAACTTCTGCTTGTGATGCCTGTGATAACATAAGCAGTATTTTTAAAATTTATTTTATTTTATTTTATTTTATTTTATTTTCAAGACAGAGCCTTGCCCTGTCACCTAGATTGGAGTGCAGTGGTGCAATTTTGGCTCATTGCAACCTCTGCCTCCTGGAGTCAAGCAATTCTCCTGCCTCAGCCTCCCGAGTAACTGGGATTACAGGTGCATGCCACTACGCCCAGCAAATTTTTGTATTTTTAGTAGAGACAGGATTTCACCATGTTAGCCAGGCTGGTCTCAAATTCCTGACTTTGTGATTCTCCTGCCTCGTCCTCCCAAAGTGCTAGGATTACAGGCGTGAACCACCATGCCCGGCTAGTAATTTTTATGTGTATAACAAAAATATAAGCAGAAATTAAACAAATGTAAGATGATGCACCTCAATTTGAGAAAATAAGTAAAATAAACACTTCCTTACTTTAGATTACTGCTGAGTTAAATTTAAATTCATAAAGCAAATTATGAAATAAATTACCTTATGAAAAATGATTAGAGTTTTAAAAATATCATGTTTAGTAAATGATCACTTGTTAGTCTTTAACCATGAGCTTGATTAGCCCTGATCCTATTTATTTCAAGAGTAATTTCAGACCTATTCAGACTTCCCCTTAAACCCGCACGTTCTTCACTCTCTTCACTCTCAGCAGGTGATTTCATCATCCTTTTTATTGGAGGAAATGGATATATCTCTTCTGCTGTTCCTTAACCTCCTACCACCTAAAAACTTCCATAGCCATCGTCACTGTCTTTCATTTCCAGAAGACCAAATGTTTCTTTTCTTCAAGGTTGACTTGCCACCCATATCCTTGACCTAAATG